CTTACATTACCCTTAGTCTTAGCTAGAACCTTTGACCAGCTTTTTTTTATCTTGGGCTATCAGAAGCCCCAGGTCCACCCTGACGCGACGTTCATTTCTATTCTTGTTGTTGGTTTAAGGGTCTCCATGGATGGAATAGTTCCCAATGGTAGTCCTCTGAAACGTTCCATAGTAGTCGCGTAGACGCTGTAACTGGTAGCATCCAATGCTTGCAAATGTTTCGCTGTTCCTCACTGACAGCATCTCCAGTGAAAGCTTCGTCGTGACATCAGAAGACTCAGTTTTTAGAATATTTATCCAAAATATTGCTATCCTCTTACGAACAGAAAAAAATTTAGTTCAACTCATTTTGGTACAACAAAGAAAGGAAGACTAGATAAATGACTAACATCTGTGAAACTGTTTTTGATTGGTCACATAACTTATAGTGAAAGGATAAATCGGCATAGAGATAGAAAATATATTATTGTATATCTATCACTACGGTAACTTGTGACTGTTGGTGAAAATTAAAGTGGTCATATTTTCGTAATGAATCATGGAACCTCTACCTTTATAGCCGAGATATCAAAGATTTTGCAAGCGCTAGCCATTTAGACTGCACGTTATCAGTTTTCCGAACGAGCGCGCGCCGCTTCCCCCTATTTCCCGACCGCTCCAGCTGACGCACTCAGCGCTTGCATGCTTCAATTTATTACTCAATTACTAATAGTAAAAATCTAGTAAACATATCCTACTATTTTTTTTTTTTTGAAAATATAAGTATTCAATATTAACCTCCATCAAGCGCATCGCTGCAAAATGTTAATTGCGTCCTCAATTTTTTTTTTTAAATAAAAAAATTATCTCGGCTCCAGAAGGTCGTAGAAAAACATGTTTTTTTTTTCTTTAAAAGTCATTTTCATAAAATAAAATTTGAAATAGTTATTTGAAAAAAACGTACCCAAAAAAGTGCAACTTCTTCAAAGTCATTTTTTGATCCTTAAAATTAATAAAATCGTAAACATTTTTTAACAGCATGGTAATATAACTCTTTAAGAAGAAAATAAACCGAAAATCGTTACTGTAGGGCTATCCGCTGAGAAGATCTAGCCAATTTTCGAGAGCGCCTTTTTTTCAAAAAATCGATATATCTCGAAAAATAATTAATATTTTTAAATTTTTCAAAAATGTACTTTTTTGGCTTGCCGCGGGCTATGCTTGCAGTAAATAGCAAATATGGGCACGTAAATGTAAACGAGTTATAGAAGAAGAGAAAAGAGAAGATTTTTAACGGTTTTTTCGATATATCTCGAAAAGTAACAAAGCAATCGATACTTTCAAAAAATCAGTCGATAGATCTTTTTAAAACCTACAACTTTCTCATTTAAAATTTTTCAATCCGTGCTATATTTTTTTAGTTATTTTAGAAAAACCGTTTTTTTCAACTTTGCGATTTTTTTTAACCATGTTCGCCATATTGGATCGAGTTTAAAGAACAAGAAACTCAATTTAAAATTTAATTTTCTATACGGTCATATTTTTTTTGTCCAGGTAATAATTTCTGTAAGCATTTCTCTATAATGCTTGGACTAATAGGAGATAGTTCCTATGCTCACATGGGAAACTTTTATCACGGAAAGTGACTAATATTATGCACGAAATTTGGGAAATATAACATTAAATAAAATAGAGATTGATTACCATAAAATCCCAAAATCAAAATCATAATGTCATCAATTTTAAGGGAAGGTAGGGAAAAATAAGTAGAATACGTATAAGTGATTAAAAAAATTTGAAAATGCATATTTAAGCGGAAAAAAAATATTTTGAAGTCATTAATTAAACCCCTTTTTCGACCGCTCTTGACCGCTGACCCATAAAAGTTTATCGAGCGTGAATCTTCGGACATTAGCCCAGCTCTTACTGCATTTTTAATCCGTAGTGAACGATAAGCATAAAACAGATCTTCTTACCTAGACACATGAATGATTTTTTTACATTTTAAATATTAACAAGTGTTATTTATTAGTTAATAAAAACAAATGTATAACGATAATAATTGTTTTCAAATATTAGGTTATTATAATTTATATTTTTTAATATTGTCAACGTTTTCACTATGTTTTATAATTGAATATGAGTATTTAGTTTTATGTTCAATTAATTAATCAGTTTGTAGTACGTATACCTTATTCTTATTTTGTGACTTATTGTTTGTCAAAGACCTATTTAAAATGCCAATACGTCTAAAAAACACTTATTCGTCCATAGCACTTTGTTAATAAAGTTGGGATCTGCTGCACTTTGATTTTGAAACTAATTGCAAAATTCGACACGACTGGGGAAATCAGCTTGTTTCGCTTCAATGTTCTAACGTTGTACTCTTTGTATCTCTCAGTTGATTATGAATATATCTACAGCCATTTTCGAGATCTCGGGGTCGGCAACCTTTAATATATATTTTTATTTTGCGAACATTTTTTCTTCTTCTCTTTATCATATCTTAAAAATGATGTGGATCCCAAGTTTCACTATTGAAATATGTATGCCCCTAATATTATTTCTAAATTTCATTTTTTTCATTTATAGTCAGATTGATCAAAAAAAAAATTGCAAAGCATTTGAAATCCGGTAGAATTAACGTAACACCTCCTACCAATAGGTTGGCGAAATCAATCATATTTGAAGAAAAAATATCTATTTGTTATTACAAAACTCTAGAATTATTCTACTTTAAAATCGTTGGGTCCCTATTTGAAAAAAAAAATATCTATTTATTATTAAATGAGAAATATTATAATTAATAGAATATTTGAAACTTTTACTGTTCAAAACCTTTCATCCATCGAATTAAGTATTTTTTCTTATTACTCCAGCAAATTGTTTTTGATGGCCTTCTAGACGTCCACCGAAAAAAGAATCCCCAATGTTTTTCTGGAAAATGCACACATAAAAATCATAGCGGGCTTGGCGATCATAACAATGGGAAACCAAGAGTTGCTAAATGATGGCCTTTTAGGAACATAAAAAAAATAAATAGTTTCATTTGATTCTGCCAGCCAACTTGTGTTTAAAGGATTGTCAATACGAAAAGCCAGAAACCCTGCCTGTATATTTTGAAGAATTTATATCTTAGGCGCAATAAAAGCAACACATGTTCTATATGATGGCGATGGTGATGGTAATGGTGATAATGATGATCATAAGTATAAAGATAATAATAATAATAATGCCCAACAGAAAACATTCCATTTACAGGACAAAATAAGTAGATAATTATAATATAAGCATACTACTGTACAATAAATAAAGAAAACAAATAAATAAACAAAATAAAAAAAAAATAAAATATATATACATATATACATATACATACATATATATACATATATACACATATATACACACATACACACATACATACACATACACATATATAAATAAACAGCAAAGAGGAAAACAGCAAAAGCTTTATCTAATATTGAAAATTATTGAAGTAATCCGAGGCAATTCTTAACAAATTTTTAAAATTACAATGAAATAAATCACACTGATCTGCTATTTGGTTATAATTATTAGCCATTAAATAAACAGGAGATTTTACAAGTACATTTGTTCTGGCATTTCGGCAATAAAACAGTGAATTCTCACGAGAGCCAGGTCTCGGAACACGTATATTAAAAAGATATATTAAAGCCTGGGAATCAACCATGCCATGAAACAATTTATATAAAAAAGATAAACTTGCAACCACTCTTCTAGTATTCAGCGACTGCATACTGAATCTTTGTAATAGTAATTGGTGGTTGTATCCCCTGTCAGGATAAAAATTGTCAACACGAAAAGACAGGAATTTGAGAAAACGCCGCTGTATTCTTTCCAAGTGGTTACTGTATATTTGATAACATGGGTGCCAAATAAGGCTACAATATTCGAGTTTCGAACGTACGAGTGAATAGTATAGACTCTTCAATGCACCTATATCGGTAAAAGATTTTGTATTTCTTATAACAAAGCCTAGCATACTATAAGCGGATTTAATACTTGAATTAATATGATCAGCAAAAGACAATCTGCTGTCAAACATTACACCAAGATCCTTAATGTTCTGAAAACGAGTTAAAAGTGACATACCTATATTATAATCAAATATGAGGGGCTGATTTTTAAGAGTAAACGTACACACTTTGCATTTTTTTGTGTTAACAGGTAATTAATTATCCGTACACCATATACAAACATGATTCACAAGGTCTTGCAATAACAAACAATCAGCCACATATGATATATTCAAGAACAATTTCAAGTCGTCGGCAAACATAAGATGATTTGACTTTAATGTTAGAGATAAGTCATTTACAAATAATATAAAAAGGAGTGGCCCCAAGTTAGAGTCTTGAGGTACTCCCGATGCCGCATTAAAAGTATTCGACTTGAAACCATTATAAGAGACATACATCTTTCAATGACATAGGTAAGAATTGAAAAGGCGGAGTAAGCTATCATTGAAACCATACTGTTCCAACTTACGTAGGAATATATTATGATTAACCTTGTCAAAGGCCTTTGAGAAGTCTGTGTAAATGGCATCAACTTGCCCTTTGTCATCAACATAGTTCGCCGTATATTGATGAAGATGAAGGTAACGATGATAACTGTGAATGTTACAGGTATATTATTTTCCCATGTTTGCACTTTTAGTCCTAAATAAGTTGAAAAGTTGCTAACTGTATCCATACTTAGCAGAAAATAAATTCATCGGAACAGGTTTTGATCAGATCTTATCTATATCGGCATAAATGATATTTTTGTTCAACAAACTAATAGGATTTTCTTCAATTAATTAATACAAATTTGCATATACGGTTTCACGTACATAAACATTTAGGTGTAAACAACAATATTTTTAAATAACGTATACATTGCATACCTACATAAACCAGACCCCTTGCATCAGATCTGCGACTATAAAATAACATCACCTTGGATTTTCAGAATCATTTGTTCATTGACAAGTTCAGAGAGCTGAACCTCCTAGATGCCTCCTGGGGCAAAGTAAAAGCTTGTTTAAAAAAAGTGAATGAAACATAATACGAGTACACGGCGGGTAAGCAGCAAGGTCATTTTTATTTACAAATAAATGCAAATAAGAACCGGCTCTTCTCCGGGTACGTAATATATATAAAACTGATTTTTTGCAAATTAAGTGATATTAAAGAAATATACTGAACATATAATACAATTTGAGTAGTTTTGATTATCTTGTAATCAACCAAGAGCTGCAAAATTACTTTTACATGAAAATAATCCCTATAACGCTATTAAAAAATAAATGGTTTAATTTTATAAAGAAACCGAGATGAACATAACATCTCACCAGAAAAGAATGTTGTACATTTGCCACTCAATTTTTTAGTGCTTATAGCCATAAAGCAACATTATTTGTAATAGAAGTCATTTGCATATTTTGAAAAGTTGCAAAAATGTTTGTTGATATTTGCTCCAGATTTGAGTCCATAACTGATAATCCACTTTCGAATGGCGAGTACTTTGTTGAATTAATATCGCGGAGTTTCGGTGCGATATTTTTACATTAATTAAAGTGAACGTGCCGGGATTTATGCACTTAGTATATAAGAAGGCAAAATTTACAGACCTATCAGTGTGTGCATTAGTTCCTCGTAAAATACAGTATCTGGAGACTATACCAACAGCTATGTTTTTACAAGTAAGATAACTACAATATTAATTTAAATTATAAGTTAATCAATTGTGAGTCTACAGTAAATTGGCCAGTTATAGTTTTCTAATTAGGATTAAATGAGGCAAGACAACTTTCCAAAAAATCTCATTGGTAATATTGTTTACTAAATTCCTAACTACTTGTTTTTAGGTGTTACCGTTTTTTAAATTTAGTTTGAGTATCTACCTATCGTTTTTTCAATTTTTTTATTGGTCCAGTGTCACTGAAATATTCTAGGACTTTGCAAGTTGCTAATCAGTTTCAGTTAAATAATACCGATAAGAATCTATTCTATTCATAACTAGTGTATTGTTCGCTATTATTTTTTGTGGCTCAATTTTAATTTTTTCTGTTTATTGCTAACAATAAAAAAATATAAATTGTCAAGTTGATTTAAAAAGAAACATTAGTTTTAAGAACAAAAATAATTGATTTTCGAAAGTCTGTAAAATAATTATTTAAGTAATAATGTTTCAAAATATAATTTCATTGTATAGTTTTCAGTATCTGCCATATTCAATTCTACAAACGAGATATATTCTGTACAACAAAATTATTTGTAGGTTTTAATTATTTAAATTTAAAACCAACTTCTCCCTTTCGACCAAAATTCGTAGTTTTGTATAAATTCTTCTGCCATACGTTTTAACATTCGATTTTGAAATATGTATTCACATTTTAAATGAATAATTTTGTAAAGTATTATATATTTTTTATCTCTACTGATTTTGAATATTAGCAAATAATCCTTCTCGTACACAAAACCAAAATCTCAGGAAGTTCAGGAACTTTCAAAAGAAATTATTACCATATTGAAATACCAATTTGGAATGAAGACGAATGAACTTACTACCGTTCGGTACAGATTTTTTTACCTAATGTTCTTATTTTCAAATATTTTGAATATACATTCTATAAATAACAGTATTGTAATTAATTAATTAATTTATTTATTTATGGATAAGGGGGCACACACAGGTTTTATGGCACAAAACAATATTTTGAACATAAATCCTATAAATAACAGTAATGTAATTTATTTTACCTACGACCACTTCTGTAAATACTTAAAAACACACCGTCTGCGATCTATGTAAGACTCCTATTACGTACGGTAAAAAAATCGCACAGTTTTCCTAGCAACGGTCAATACAATACTGTTTGTATTGACCGTTGGTAGGCGGTTGCTAGGAAAACTGTACGATTTTTTTACCAAGCTGTGCGATTTTTTTACCGTACGACGTAATAGGAATCTTGCATTGATCGCAGACGGTGTGTTTTTAAGTATTTAAAGTAGTGGTCGTAGGTAAAGTATAGTACGTAATACGTGGTGTAATGCAATTACGCACTCATAGAATTACGCACTCGCCGCTACGCGGCGTCGTGCGTAACTTTTCCATTCGTGCGTAAAATGCTTTTTACAACACTTATTANTTGTTAATTTACAATAATAGTTCCCTTTAAAGATTTTTTAAAACTAGTAAGCGAGGAGTGGAAGATATCTATACTATAGTACAAGTTAAAATGTCTACATATTCTGTATATAGGAGAGTTTTGACCAGAATTAGTTCGATAAAAAGTCTCATGAAATAGTGCATTACTCTAAAGTCATGTTGTGGTACATCTAAACCGATCAAGTCTAATAAATATGGAGAATCGATAAAACCATTAAGAAGCTTATACAAAAATACTGCTTCGGCAATAATTTTTCGATTCGCCAATGAAATAATATGGTAATGATTTCGTAACATCGAGCTACAATGGAAAGAATACACACCAATCTCCTTGTAGTGTAAATATCTCATAAATCTGAAGTCGAGACATATATGGGATATTATGGACTCCATACAATAGATGCAAAATTGATTATGCTGTGCACATATACAAAATATATAGATTTAATAGCAAAAATCGACTTAAAATTTTTGCAAACTCTGACAATGAAACCAAGCATTTTGTTGCTTTTTAAAGTTATGTAATCAATATGTGAAGAAAAACTAATTTTTCCGTCAAAGACAAACTTTTATTTCTTCAAATTGATTTAAAATATTTTTATTAAAGTTATAATTATTAGAGTACAGTAGTAACAGAAACAGCATTAGTTAAGTTTCTAGGCTTCTATAGTAATTGCAAATTATAAATAAATTCTGTATTGGTCGGTTTAGACTTCTTGTATTTGAAGAGGAGGGATATGTCTCGAAACGTCAAAGAGTCTAAACCGACGACGTGGTAAGCAGCTTGAAAATTCAACTATAACAACATTACTCGTATTAATATCTCATATATATTTTCTTAATTTGTTCAGTCAGATTTTTCTAATCAATTATGGTATGTAATTAAAGATTTAGTAATACTAGTATTTAAAAACTTACTATAATATCTACATCGATACTGTAGCCAATCACATACATCATAAATAATATATACATATATCTACCCAAACTTTAAAAGTGAAATGTTCTGTACACTTATTTCTAAGAAAATAGAAAATGATGAAGGAAAATATCATTAGAATTAGCACTCACAAATAAAAGGAAAATGTTTCGATGAGTGGAAATTGTTTTATTCATTTCTAATTTTACATTTAACCACTTCTTTTTTGCATGAAATTTTTATTATCTTGTTTCGATTCTACGCAGAAAAGTAAATAAAATAAAATTTATTGCAATATTTCAAGAATCAAGTAATGATAATGAAACCAATTCATCAATTATATTAGCCGCTACAATGCTGGTTTACTTTCAGGTCTTAACTATTGTCGCACTGGCAGTTTCTGCTCATGCAGGACTTTCCTACTCAGCTGGAGGAATAGGCCTAGGAGGTGGTCTTGGAGGAGGCATTGGATTGGGAGGTGGTGGAATTTCTTTGGGACATGCTATTTCAGCACCAGTTGCTGTTGCCAAACAAGCAGTAGTAGATTATTATGTAAGTACTACTTATTACAACAAAACATGAACTGATGCAGTTAAAATTAATAGCTACTTAAAACTGTTACAACCTCTTTTACTTCTGCTTAACTTGTAGTCGGCTTTCCAAAGAATTGTCCTGTTATGATTACTCGCTGCAGCTTTGTTTTCAGTGCAAAGTTCAAAAGTCTGTACCGATGTTTCCGCTAATTCCTTCTTATCTTAAAAGTTTACAAGCCTAAATTTCCGTCATTCAAATTCCTTACACTCGCCTAGGGTATGTAATATAAACTCATCTTTCTAATTATAATCCTAGAAATCGAACTCTACTACTTTTATGTTATGGAGATTTTTCTTCAATTGAAACAGTCCTTTTAAAAGCCCTGTAATTTTTTTAACCTAATCTTGCATATTATTCAGTTTTCCATTTCCCTTGCGGCGAAACAGTCAATTTCCTTCACATCAGTCTATCAGTTTTAAATTCCAATATTGATAAACATTTGCTTCGTTTACCCATTTTTCCAATGATAACTGATAGGCACCATAAGAAATGCCAAAAGCTAGGGTCTTAGAAAAGTCTTCTTCTAGAGTTCCTTTTTTGTAAGTTTATGATTTTAAAATTAAGTATACGTTATTCGCAGCTTGACGATCGAAAAATGTGTATTGTATATACGCTTTTGAGTGTGGCCTTTCTGCAAATTAGGCTATAGCTTCTTGCGACCTAAACCTCAATCCAACTACTCCATCCCTTGTTTCATTGTTTGTTTTAGAACTATCAGTAAATCATACAAAGTTCCATTTTTCCAGTGCATTTTTTTTAATCAAGTTTTGTTATAAAAGTTTGGCTTAAATAATTTAGCAGCAAATTGCTTTAAATTCATATCTGTCAAATCAATATCAAGAAATAATGCCATAATCATTTTCAGATGAGTTCATTCTAATAGAAATACGTTCATGTTTCACTTTTTTCTTGTTATTTAATGGACAATTGTAAAACTAACTATGTGCGATTGTATTGAATTCAACTGAATTGTTTTTGAAACCTTTCTTATATATTTGCAGACCCCTGCCCATTACGAATTCAAATATGGAGTAGAAGATGCTCACACTGGTGACAAGAAACAGCAATCTGAAACCCGTATCGGTGACACCGTAAAAGGAGAATACTCCCTTGCTGAACCCGACGGCACAATCCGTGTTGTGAAGTACACCGCCGATCCCCACAACGGTTTCAACGCCATCGTCAGCAGAATAGGACATGCAGCTCATCCTCAAATCATTTCCAAAGCTGTAGTTCCAGTGGCCTCTCATGGAATAGCCCTTTCCGGTGGTTTGGGTCTTGGAGGAGGTCTGGGATTGGGAGGATATGGAGGCCACTGAAGCTGATGTGATCATTTTCGCCAACGTCAACCTGTAGTCGTCATCGTTGCCATACTCATTGTTATTTTCATGTTCATCTTCACCGTTGCTCATCCCTCACGTCATGGTTAAGTTTCTCTTTGTGTATACTTTTGTTGTACATATCACATACCTAAGTTAGACTTTATGTTAATAAACAATAAATGTTTACACTCTATGCACAAGTTTCTTTATAAATAAGCTTCTTTAATTTGTATCAATATTATTTTTAATACTTCAATGAACCTAAATACTAAAAGTATGAGGTGAAAAATTTGAAACAGGAATGTATTTTAACTAGTTTTTATACATTTAAAATATAGGAAATTTAAATACAATTATATACAATATATACAATAAGTATACCTACCCCTATATTCAGTTCTACGAGTATTTCAGTTGAAGAATTTAATTATTTCAAAATATTTTATTTACTAACTTTTGATAAAACTTAGTCATAATCATAGTTAAGTGTAGAAACTAATAACCGTCTTTATTAAATTACATCTAAGTACATTTTTTCGGATGTGTATCTGAAAAGGTCAAATCAGTCAAAAAAGTTTAATGCAAAACATGTCAGTTGTATTTCATGAAACGTAAACGGTTTTTCAAGAAACATCATTTACATTTTAGAAAAACTAAACGCTGTTGAAGGGTTTATTAATGTTTGGTATTTAATTATCAATTACCAATAATATATATACACCCTGTATATGTACAATATACCATGCATATATACAGGGTGAGTCTTTAATAATAGTACACAGCTTAAAGGCAGATTGTTAACGTCAAAATATAGCGATTGAGCCAAACATGCCTTAATCAATTGTTGCTCATTTTCATTCTACAGGGTGTTAAAGTTGAAAAAATATTTTCTTTTTTTATCTATATTCTAAGTATGTATGGACCGATTTTTTTGAAAATTTGTAGTATTACGTTTTTTGAGGTGGCAAATACGAATATACAAATAGTGTTGTGGTCACGTCTAGGTGGCGCTAGTTGTACTGTCCTGTCTATGTAAAAATATTTCTAACATTTTATATTTTACAATTTTGAATTTTTTAACTAGAAATTGTTGAACTACGTGCTAAATAAAAATGTATACTTGTTACAAATCGATAAACTCAACTGTTTTCGAGATGCAGACATTTTAAGTTTTTGAGATTCGGCGGGAATTAAATTAGAAAATTATTTTTTCCAAAGTAGTAGGTATAGACATAATAAATTGATAGCTGTCACTACAATACCATATTGTTTCCTACTCAATTTTATTAAGAAGTAGTTTTTTCCGTGTCGTTATTTTTTAGAGAAGAGAATATCTTAATAAAAGGCTAAGAAAGTGCATTGAAGTTGCTGGTAGTTAATAATTTGTTAAGATATGCATAATAAAATCTTTAATTGATGTAATGTTTGTCTTAATTCTTAATTTAGGCTTAGTATCTTAAGAACTTGCTAATTTTCTAATTTAATTCCCGCCGAATCTAAAAAACTTAAAACGTCTGTATCTCGAAAACGGTTTAGTTTATCGATTTGTAACTAGTACACCTTTTTTATTTAGAATTGAACGTAGTTTAATAATTTGTAGTTAAAAAATTCAAAATTGAAAAATACAAAAAATTAGACAGATTTTTACATGGATAGGACAATATAACTAGCGCCCTCTAGACATGATCTCAACACTGTTTGCATATTCGTATTTGCCTCATCAAAAAACGTATAACTACAAATTTTCAAAACAATCGATCCATACATACTTAAAATATAGATAAAAAAGTAAAATATTTTTTCAACTTTAACACCCTGTAGAACGAGAAGGAGCAATAATTGATTAAGGTATTTTTTGGCTCAATCACTATATTTTGATGTTAACAATATGACATTAAGCTGTGTACCATTATTAATGCCTCACCCTGTGGGTTATTCTCATACCATTCTACCCCCTTATCTCCGTTGCATTCGTATCTTTTGATTCCAAAACTGTACTTGGAAATACAAATCAGACAGAGCTATATAAATATATCGGGTCTATTCGTGGAAGATTTGAATTTTGCACCATTTGTGCGGCAAAGTGTTGCCAACGAAATAAAAACGATAGCACGACAGCTAACAGTTCAGTGTTATTAAAAATGGAATGCTATATAAACAACAGCGCGTTTTCATTGTTGAGCAATATTTTAAATATACCTAATGAAAGTTTGATAGCTACAGTTTGCAATTTTCGAACAAAATATAAAGGGTGTTTTTTAAGTACCTATAGGGTGAATCTTTGACTAATTTTAAGATAAAAAATTAATATGAACATGGGTCCGCAACGGCTTGGTTCTTGAGATAGAGGACATCAAAAAAAAAATTTGTTCGGTATTTTGATTATATTTTTGTTTAATAACATGGCAATTTAACTAAATTCGGGAAACTGGGAGTATTGATGATGTGAAACTCAAATATTTACTTGTTTTTTGTTTAATGTTAGGGGGCGCCACATACAGTGTTGTAAGTGGATTTAAATAACCATAAATTTTTTGTGTTGTACTCGATGTAGTTTTTGATTAAACATAACTATTCTTCATTCAATTTTAGGTACAAAAGTACTGAAAGCAGCCGTTTTTTTAAAAAAATGGGTTTAAAGTTAAACCTGCATTGGAATTTTGTAAGATGAATCTTCAAAAGTTTTTGAAAAATAAATGAAAAAGAGTCATGCGCTATGTTACTATCACCAAACTAGTGAAAATTAGACAAAAATAAAATTCGCAAAAACAAAAATTTTGGGTGATTTCACTTCATTAGGTACCAAATAAATAAGTAGAGTTTGCTCCATAAACTTTTTTCCTGGGGGATGCGATATTCGGGATACAGGGTGTTAAAGTTTACAAAAAAAATTGTGCCATATCTTCATAATGCGCTTTAACCAGTGGCATACTACTGAAGGAACCGGACCATTTTCCCAAGAAAAAAATACGCCACTGGCGGTTTTTTATAGAAATAATGTTACATTCAGGTACTCTTACGATAATTAACTGAAAAATTGTACCTGGTGTTTTTTAATAGTAGCAGTCCTTTAGGAGATATTTGGACTTGTTTTTACGTTTTATTGAATTTTCCTAATAAATTAATCCTTTTATTTGATGAAAACCTCCTGGTATTAACAAGTGATGTACTACTAAAATGTTCGCCAACTTTTCCCAAGAAAAGAATATGCCAGTGGCGGTTTTTTGTAGAAATAATTTTATTTCTGGGAAAAATATCAAACTAAATAAAATAACATTAGCAAATAGGTCGAGTAAGTAATTAAGTAATAACAATTGTTTAAAACGAAGTACTTCCGCATCGGTGCACTTTCGATATTTTCTAATCAGGCTATTTATAGAGGAAATTATCATGACATGATTTTCCCTGAGATTACAATTCTCCGTTATTCTTTGCCACAATTCATCTCGTGTTCAAAGCCCAAGAAGGACTGCAGCTTCAGGAGTAAATAAACGAAGCTAGTTATAATACTAAAACAAGATCATCGTAAAGCTTACTAACTGATAATGCAGACAAAATAATCAATTTTTACAGATGAATTTTAAACAAATATGAGTATGTGGAGTATTTGCGCATTATGTTCGGCAAATAAGTAAATTCTATTCTAAACGGCTGCTACTATTGATACTAATGAAAAAAAAAATCTCTGTAGAATTTTGTTATGAATAAAACAACAGATCTGAGTTTTAAGATTATTGTATTAGATCAATAATAAGTTTATTTTTCTCACAAGGAACAGTTCATGTGATAGATCAGCTCATATTATTTTCTTTTTTTAGAAATACATTTGATAATTTCTAAATTAAAACTGACTGTTTTGAACCTTTTACAAAATACATATATTGAATCTGAAATTCAAATTATGTTTTTTGATATACAATAAATTCTTTCTAAAATACATCTGGAAAAGGTGTAGAGATTACTTTCATACTCTATACAAAGGATCCCATTTTTAATGTCCATGCGTAAGATATAATGTTGTAGTTTTCACAAACATAGGCCACATTTTTGAGGGAAATATTCTGGTCAAAATAGACTGATAAATTACTTAGTTTTGGTGATATTATTGCGCCTGTAGTTAGAACTTTTATGGTCCAAGCATTATAGAGACATGCTTACAGAAATTATTACCTGGACAAAAAAAATATGGCCGTATAGAAAATTAAATTTTAAATTGAGTTTTTTGTTCTTTAAACTCGATCCAAAATGGCGAACATGGTTAAAAAAAATCGTAAAGTTGCAAAAAACGGTTTTTCTAAAATAACTAAAAAAATATAGCACCGATTGAAAAATTTTAAATGAGAAAGTTGTAGGTTTTAAAAAGATCTATCGACTGATTTTTTGTAAGTATCGATTGCTTTGTTACTTTTAGAGATATATCGAAAAAACCGTTAAAAATCTTCTATTTTCTCTTCTTCTATAACTCGTTTACATCTACGTTCCCATATTTGCTATTTACTGCAAGCATAGCCCGCGGCAAGCCAAAAAAGTACATTTTTGAAAAATTTAAAAATATTAATTATTTTTCGAGATATATCGATTTTTTGAAAAAAAGGCGCTCTCGAAAATTGGCTAGATCTTCTCAGCGGATAGCCCTACAGTAACGATTTTCGGTTTATTTTCTTCGTAAAGAGTTATATTATCATGCTGTTAAAAAATGTTGACGATTTTATTAATTTTAAGGATCAAAAAATGACTTTGAATAAGTTGCACTTTTTTGGGTATGTTTTTTTCAAATTACTATTTCAATTTTTATTTTATGAAAATGACTTTTAAAGAAAGAAAACTAAACATTTACGGGTCTATTTTGCTTCTAAGGCGAAAATGCTATAATATTCGTGTTTAGCTACCCCAGATTAAGTACAAAAAAATAATAAAAATTGAAATAGTTATTTGAAAAAAACATACCCAAAAAAAGTGCAACTTTTTCAGTCATTTTTTGATCCTTAAAATTAATAAAATCGTCAACATTTTTTAACAGCATGATAATATAACTCTTTACGAAGAAAATAAACCGAAAATCGTTACTGTAGGGCTATCCGCTGAGAAGATCTAGCCAATTTTCGAGAGCGCCTTTTTTTCAAAAAATCGATATATCTCGAAAAATAATTAATATTTTTAAATTTTTCAAAAATGTACTTTTTTGGCTTGCCGCGGGCTATGCTTGCAGTAAATAGCAAATATGGGAACGTAAATGTAAACGAGTTATAGAAGAAGAGAAAAGAGAAGATTTTTAACGGTTTTTTCGATATATCTCGAAAAGTAACAAGGCAATCGATACTTACAAAAAATCAGTCGATAGATCTTTTTAAAACCTACAACTTTCTATATTTTTTTGGTTATTTTAGAAAAACCGTTTTTTGCAACTTTGCGATTTTTTTAACCAAGTTCGCCATTTTGGATCGAGTTTACAGAATAAGAAACTCAATTTAAAATTTAATTTTCTATACGGTCATATTTTTTTGTCCAGGTAATAATTTCTGCAAATTTAACGTTAATCCGTGACATAATGCTTGGACTATTACTGAAATATTGTTTTTTAGCGTAAAATCCTTGTCTTACTTAATGTTATAAATTCTTCATATCTCTCTCTAATATCCTACATCAAATTCAGTTTTGTTTTGCTTAGTTATATTTAGTACATGCTATCTGCTTTAACATAAACCTCTAGTGTAGTAATATGCCTTGATCGTGATTTTCTAAGGACAGCAAAAATTTGTAAATACTAATATAATTCACAAGCAGTGCAGGGTACAGGGATAAGAAGTTGGCCTAGAACAATCATCGTTCCGGAACGGTGCACCTAACTAGAGTCAAAAAGGCATACCAGACAAGATCAGATCATCTGGAATTTTAACTGACTTTGGTTCACTTGGAAAATGTTAAGGGCAAGGCTTAATATTGAATTACACTGGTAAACATTCACGATTTCTGTGATTCGTTTATATTTTATATTTTACTTCTTAATTCATAATACCCTTAATAATTATTCACAAATAGATACTATTACATTCCACTGTTGTATTATTTTTTGTAGAATCATTTTTGTTTCTGGGAATATACTACAAAGTATTTTAAAATGGCTTGTAATTAAAATCTCAGTATCAAAATGTACATGGGGCATTCCATGTCAAGTCACTGAGGGCGTCACCCGACTATTTCTAATTTTCGTGATTTTTTGGTATTATTTAGTATCCATTTAGAGTAGCTTTCATGATTTTTTTCAAATTTTTATTTCAACCACCTCAAGAATATATAAAGCACTTATATGCACAAATATTTTGGGTAAAAAATTTTCAAATGCCTGTAACTTAGCAACAACTAAATACAGGTTGTTACAAATTCACTTCTCACTACAGGGATCTCGGAAACGGTAAGAGGTACGAAGTAGCTTAATTGGGGGCAAAGTTGCATGATCAGGGGACCAACATTATGCCTCTAAAAAATCAAGGCTAACATGATTAGTTTTCGAAATATTTGAAAAAAATCGAAATTTTAGAAATCCGTTTATGTTTCATTTCAGCCTTGTTTGCGGGATATTGAAAAAAGAAGAACACTTTCTCATGGCCACTTTTTGTCCTCTATCGAATGGTATAATCAATTTTTATATGTAACGTTTCGTCTCTCCAGGACCATCATCAACTTAATTTTTTTTAATACGACCCTGTAAATTTTATTACATTTTTTGAAAGCCTTTATGATCCCCAATACTGTACTGCCTCAGCCCGAACCAGATTCAGACGTTTTGTCTCGAAAAATTCATCTTCAGTGTATTGGTTCCAAATTTATCTAATTTTTTATTTAGATTTCTTTATTTATTGAATAACACTGTAAGTGTCGTTAGATCCTGCGAAATCCATCTGGTTATTTAAACTATTACCACCACGCGTTACAATAAAACATTTATTATTATTAACTATTACCATCACTTGGTCATACATAACTCAATAAGTTGTTGTATCAAAATTAAAACATTATTACAATTTTAATTTTATTATGGCAATGTAATTCTTAAAAATGCATATGAATAACCAAAACGCCAACTGAATATTATTATTTAAAAAATGTCAGTAAATGTTCAAAAACATTTTCGTTTTGGCATAGGTTGAAAATGAAGATCAGCGTAATATTTTCGGAATTTATTATATCTGTAAACGCAACTGTGAAAGATGCATGTCAGATGTATTTGTATGAAAAAAATAGATCGGAATTTGTTTGAATTTTGAGCGTTCGAGAAGCCTAGAAATAACTATGGACACGGGAATAAAACTAATATTTTTTTGTGACGTGACAAAACGTCTGAATCATGTTCGGGCTGAGGGAGTACAGTATTTGGGGTCATGAAGGCTTGCAAAAAAAAGTAATAAAATTTCTAGGGTCGTATTTAAAAAAATAAAGTCGATGATGGTCCTGGAGAGACGAAACGTTACATATAAAAATTGATTATGCCATTCGATAGAAGGCAAAAAGTGATCGTGATGAAGTGTTCTTCTTTTTTCAATATCACCTCAAATAAGGCTGAAATGAAACAAAAACGGTTTTTTTCAAATATTTCGAAAACTAATCATGTTAGCCTTGATTTTCTAGAGGCATAATGTTGGTCCCCTGATTACGCAACTTTGCCCCCATTTAAGCTAGTTTGTATCTCTTACCGTTTTCGAGATCCCTGTAGTGAGAAGCGAATTTGTAACAGCCTGTATATTATAAACTTTTTTTTCATTTTGTTGGTTTGCAGTTTTATAAAAAACAAAATACACAATATAAATTTTTAATTTTTGAAAAAGAGTGGCGTTCTTTTTTCTTCTATTCTAAAAAAGTCAAGTACAAAAAATATTTTTTAAATATGTAAATTCATTTCTGTAATATTACTATTATTTTATCACCTTTGACATTTTCGTTCAAAAATTTAATTTTTATATTTTATAAATCTACATAATATATATTAGCATTCAGATATCTATTGATTCTATTTTTAATAGGTCATTTGAAATTGATTTTATAAATTATATACATATAATAATTGTTCGACAAGTTTAGAAAGAATCCTACCATTATTATTACTACCATTGGTACTAAGTGAATACTAATATTTATTATTTACAGAAAAAGAACAAGAAATCAGAATTCCAATATCCATAAATAACGAGCTAACTGCATTCAAGATTTATGCCCAAAATATACATAACGACTTTCTGTACTGGTACTCCTTTATTAAAATATAACAGGTGATTTTTTAAACTACTCTGCATAGTACCACCGAAGTTGTTTCTGCATTTTATAATGCATTAATTATAGAGTGAATGTGTCAATTCCGCCAGTATATATAAGCAACAGATTTGTGGTACTGCTATCAGTTTGAATATATAGTTAATAACAATTACAACAATGTTTGCACAAGTAAGTAACAACAATTTTCTTCCAATTTCCATTTTCGTGTTTAATTTTGTTGCTGACATTATGCGGAAAATTTTGAAAATAATATCTTTGAAAAATATACTTATTTGAAAGAATATGTAAAAATATATTTGTCTCAATTTATTTGTGTCACTATAATTTCGTCTTTCTTATTGTGAAGATGAAGATAAAATATAAATTTTATCAACATATTGAGATTCAAATACATTAGTTATACGGTTTAGCAAATATTCATTTTCCACATATTTTTTTTCTTAATTTGAAATTATTGAAATAAATTCACAACAATTTTTGGAAGTGATTATTATAATTTAGGACCATTTACTCTTAAACTCAATTTATTCGTCACAACAGAAATTTTCCTAAATTTTGGAGCGTAACAAGGAGACAAAATAGTACTTTTAGATAAAAACTTTTAAATCAGCTGCACTTAAAAGGAAATAACGGTAATTTTCTTTTTAGATCTTTACCGTGATTGCTGTTATAGCAACAGTTAAAGCTGGTGCAATTTCTGTTGTATCTGGAGGCCTGGGCGTTGGAGGCTTAGGTTTAGGAGGAGGGTTGGCCCTAGGTGGAGGATTAGGGGGACTAGGTCTGGGCCATGGAGTTTCAATTGCAGCAAGACCTGCTGTAGTGGACGTTCACGTAAGTCGTTGATTTTTACATCTCAAAAATTTAAATTTATCGAAAAATACAAACAAAAATAAATTAATACAGTGATATACTGTTTATAATTATTAAAATGTATAAAAAAATTAGCAATATCAATTTTGAATTTTGTTAAACAATAGAGAATTATATTTTTCAGAAGAAATTTGGCTTTGGGTTTATATAAAAATCTTTTTAATATTATTTAGGATATGTGCATATTATATTCTTAAAAATATCTCAGACAAAATGGTATTTGTAATTAATGAACTTCAACACCATCATTAAACTGATATACGGAATTTCGGTAGTTCATTGGGAATTAAATTTTATATTTTATACTTAATTAACACTGTTTCTACTTTAGAGTTGGCAAAACTTTTCCAAAGTCATGAAATTCATCAAAAGCACAAAATGATGTAATATGTATAATTTACGGAAATTTACAAAAATTTACCAATTCTTTAACATAATCTATATTCCTTTCTTGCTGTAAGGACTCAACAATGACTTTGATTTCACTAAGTTAAACCATATCTTAGTTTCGATACCATTAGTGTTTTTCAAAATTTTCGATTGCAAGCACTAAAAACGGGTTGCTATTTTTAAAATCTTTCACAAGCTTGTATAAAAATCTATAGTAAAGTTTAATATTTCTTAATATTGTATTTCTAATACTTTATTCTTATTTTCGATTTAATGTATGTAGATGTTCTTTTTTTTTCCTCATATAGTTTTTAATATTTTAATGTATTTTGTTTATTTTTATTTGTACCGTCTATTTTCTTTTGTTCTTTTGTTCGACATATTTTTTCAATTCTCTTTCTGGCTTTCTGATTTCTACTTATTCACTAAATTTTTTCTTTTCTGGAACTTTTTATTATTATATGTATATTTTTATGCAGAAATGAAGAAATTTATAGAATCCTATAATTTTAGTCATTTGTTTACATATTTACGAATTTGATTTGGTGAGTCTAAATTCGACACAGTAAATAACTAAATACCAAATACGTGGTCCTTATTTTGAACAGATTAACAAAACAATTTGTTCATTTTTTTAAAAGTGCTGCTGCGTTTACCTGCCACTCCATAAGAAGAACTAATCATTTTTCAATTGATAACACAACTGAAGTCCTTGTTTTACTTATTCTTTGAAGTATCAGACAGTATATGCGACAAGCACTATGCAATTTTGCAAATGCGTCATCACTTATAAACCTGATTTTCTCGAAAACTGTTCTCGAATTATCAAAGTTAAACCTACCTATTTTCCCTTAACATTCTAGATGGTATAAATAAAAAAACTGAGGATGAAATTGTCACAGTTACTCCTCTAAAAATTCATTGTTTTGAATCAAAGCGATTGCCTCTCTCTAAATGTTGGAATCTGTTTCTAATACACTAGGAACATTGCTAATATTATTTCCTGATAATTACGAAGGTGTTACAAATAGAAAACTACTGTCTATAAATGGTTTTCCTATCTACTAAAGGTTTAGAGTTAAACATTTTTGATAAAAAATAATATCTTGTCGCCTCTTTCCCGCAGAAGACATTGGCACATGTCTTTAATTAAAATATGTATTTTAATTACAGACTCCAGCTCATTATGAGTTCAAATATGGAGTGGCGGACGGCCACACAGGTGACCAGAAGCAGCAAGCCGAAGTTCGTGTTGGTGACACTGTTAAGGGCGAATACTCCCTTGCCGAACCCGACGGCACTATTCGCGTCGTTAAATACACGGCAGATCCTCATAATGGCTTCAACGCTGTAGTAAGCCGGATAGGACACGCTGCTCATCCTCAAATCGTCGCCAGTCATGGAGTTGCTCTTGGAGGAATCGGACTTGGAGGTCATGGTCTGATATAGACCGTGTGAAACTCATAGGAACTGACTGACTTTTATCATTGATGCCGCCCTCTTCATCGCCTTCCATATCGTTGATTGTCATACTTGCTGCTCATCTCTAATTTATTATTTATAGTTTTGTATATACTGTAGCTTTAATAATTGTATACATGGAAACAATAAATGTTTTCCCGGAATTGCTGGCATGTTTTCTTATAATTGTTTGACGTACAAGAAACTAAGCAAGTTGTCTCCAGAATCCTAGAATAAAAGGATCATCAGTCAATAAAGGATACAAATCCTTATAAGTTCGATTCCACGAAAATGTGTTTGAAAAAATATTATAGTCTAAAATTTTTTCATTTTAATTTATTGCGATTAGTAAATACCTAACAACTATTCTAAAGAAGAAAACATTTTTTGTTGGGTACAAAACGATATTATTATTATTTGAAATGTAAAACTTAAATTGCCTCCTAAAATCAACATTGCTCTATACTTGCTGAGATACACAAACATTTTATAATGGAGATGAAAAAATTTATAACTTATTAACTTTATATCAAAAAATTCAGTTTGTTCAGTTTTTCAGGAAGCCATGCATACTAAATTTAATTTAGTATTTACTAAAACGAATATACTTTAATGACACCTTATGAAAAAACTATTATCACAACTTCTATATTCTAATAATTATAGAAGTTGTGAAAATAGTTTTTTATAGTTTTACTTATCGTTTTGTTTTGTTACCTAAGTACTCCCTACTTCAATCACACGAACGGAAATAGTGCCTCAAAAAAGTTGTAACGGTCGTACTTTCTTTTTAGTGATAACACACTTTTAAATAAAACAAGTCTAAAATTTTATATCACAATATTTACCTATTCTCTGAGAAAAAAGTCCTTTATTGCCACTTCTTTCTGTCATATAGTTAGGAGAAGTTAAATGAAAAGGTATCTCAAAATTTTATTACGTAATTTAGTTTAAAATCTAATTTTGTTTATTGCTCTGCAAATTTTGTTATCGTGAGCAAAGATTCTCTAAATAATATTGCTTTAGATGTACCATTTGTCTTATTTTTCCTAGACAAGAAAAAATAAATTATTTCCATATTAACAAATATATTTTGTTGCAATAAAAATTATTGTCATTTATTAATTTTTATTAAGATTAAGTAAATATGGTACCGTAAAATGCCATAGGTATACTATGATACAACAGTTGTATGTGAAATAAATTAAAGATATACAAAAACGGGCCAATATTTACCTATACCTATATAAAAATAAGCTGAGATTTTTTTAAGCAATATTACTTGGACCTGAACCTCATTTTGAATATGCCTCATGAATATACCACATCGTTTTTAACTCTATGGCTATGTATTAACATAAAAAAATAAGTACGTACATGGTTTTGTATTAATTTCACGCCATACCCTAAAGATGAACCGTAGATACTGTTTGACATCTTTTTAAAGTTATCATTTCAAATATCGAGCAAATTTGTTGTTTATCATCAACCATTTATGCTATCCTAACTATGACAAATAACTTAAGTTTTTCACAATTTTTGAGTATATGTAGTATTATAATACACAGCAAAAATTACTGTGAAGTGCCTAACTTCGCCATCTTTTTGCCCACAGTCATATTACTGATATTACTGCAGTAGAAGTTATTTTGCGTAAAGTGGTAACAAATATCGAAATATATGTCATTCATACATTATTTCTAATTTGCTATTGTTTGAAAATTTTGTTTGCGAATAAAATTTTCTTTCCAAGTTTGTTTTCTGCAAGCACGTAAAATTTTTCCCAAAATTTTCCGTAGTTTATACATTAATTCTAAACAAAGTGCGATATACAGGGTGTTCCACTAAGGTCGGCGAGGTACGATATTAGGAAACGCTAAACACGCAGCGAAGCTCCTGCATTGAAAATAACCTATGCATTTCGAACATTTACTTTTGTTAAAATTTAATTGTTCTTTCTTTACATAATATCAATATCTATTTGTTATTCTTTTTGTTATTACATATTTCCAAGACTGTTATTGTCTCAGTCATTTGCGTGGGTTTAGGTAGGTTCGTTTTTAAACGCATTTTGTTTTGGTAATTAAATGTTTTTTCGTTAGCATCGTGTTCATCAATTCTTTATCATTATTTATTTTTTGCTCAGTAATTTGCGAATAAATTGATAAAAAAGATATCGAACCATTTTTGGCGTCAAAATGTAGCTATTCTTATGCTCTTCAAACTAACCTATACACAGTTTTATCCTGATAATTCACTTTTTTAAGAAAACGTGAAACATCCTAAACTTAGATAAATAGCGCCAATAAATAAACAACACTTTCTTAAGAAATTTCAAAATTATACTCATAATTTTTTTGTGCTGAATTGATTTATGTAAAGAAAACTATAGCACTGCATTTAAAATTTTTGAAAGAAAAAAAACGGAATTCTTTTGAAATAACGCCATCTATAGGATTCCTTATTGAGGCAAATGACATTACGCATTCACCACGAGATAAAGCACGAAAAGACTTTTCCAACGAGGTAACTATGGGCTTTTGATTAGTCAATTCTTCAAAAAATGCATTTTTCTGATCAGACATTACGGGCTTCCCCCACCCTTCCTGGCGAGAGATAGTACAAAATGCCAATAACAAAAGTTATGCGCAATGAATTCGGCTATCCATATTTGTATTAAGTATTTAATATACCTGAATAGGAAACATTTCTGAGAAAAATTCAACTCTATATTTTGGTATGTAGATTGCGTCCCTTAGCGGCCGAGCTACGAACTAGAAAACTATTTCCAGCGATTTCTCTTGGTAGATTTAATAATGATTTTTTTTTCTCGAAACTCTAGGACCTAACTTTCTCTTATATCGTACCTCGCCGACCTTAGTAAGACACCCTGTATATTGTTGTCGTATGTCATATGACGTAACAGCTGCTTACTTGCCACCAATCCGTTACTTTAAAAATAGTTATAAGAAATTAATTCCCCACTTCGGTGAATAAACACGATTGCCAATATTTTTGAACATTTACACATCAATAGTGGTTTTTAGGATATAACTCGAAAAACACAAAAATTTTAGTTGAAAATGATTCATCTGAAATTGTAAAAAGAAATTACTTTTGATAGTTGAAACTTTTCATACTCCTCAAGCCAAAAGACCAAAAAGTCATTAAATATGGATTAAGGATACGAGATAGATAAATAGCATATTTATAATACATTGCAATTTTATATTGAAGAAAAAAATTCTATAGATTTTCTGACATAAATAATTTTTCGAAAATTAAATTCCTTTTTATGAGAAATAACGTGAGACCTTAAAAGTACTTATCTAATTTGCAGTGAAATTCTGAGATTTCATTGGATTTCATTGAGAGTGCCTTCCAGTACCATCACCATTGGTTCACAAATTTGTATTTATGTACATTCCAATGAATTTTTGTCCTTAATTAGTTATATGATGGGCTAAAATTTCATATAAGTCAAATATTTATCAGAGATATTTGAATAAAAATATTTTTTAATTTTAACACCCTGTATCTTAAAAATGGTTGTAACCCATTTCCATTATTTTAGTAATTTCCAACTTTTTTTTTTCAGAGTAAACGTCCTGTATGATATTGAATATATCGGTTTACAAATAATGTGTTCCTCAATTATGTATTTTTTTGCTAATGACTGAAAAATATACAACAGTCAACAAAGAATAATATAATATAATAGTGAATAGAGTATACTGAACTAAGTTTCAATGCATTTCATAACCGATATGTCGAAAAAATACTTTGCATTTAGTTCACCTACTTTCCTCCAACATTTTGGTCGCCACTTCAAGGAAATTGCTGCTGAAAATATTTAAAAATCAACTTGTCCACCCAGTAATTCAATGAACAATAACAAGCCATTCTGGTCAGCCAAGATATGGACCTAAATAGGTGTAATAGCCATAAAGTATTGCATAATGCTTTGAATGCACTTAATACATGCTCAGACCGAGTGAGACGGGGGAAAATGTTTACAGTTAACCCCGAAATGACGGTGCGGTTTCTAATTGAAAAATCCCTAATTATTTCAAATTCATTCATTACTATCAGAAGATTGATTTAAATTTGGTTTGTATATTAGTGAATGTAAAGTTAGGCTTTGCTATATATATGTAGGTGAAGTTTGTTAAAATTATCAGTTTGTGCCTTAGTCCCGGTTGTTTCACATCAACAGGTCATCAATAATGATTGCCCAAGTAAGATATAACAAAGAAACCCTTTTAATGGCATTAGTCCTGGTGCATAAGTAATAGGTGAAACTACTTTGTATGTAAATTATACCGATTCTTTTAAATTCAAGTTATTGTTAAGTAAATTAACTAAATTATTATTATTATTTTTGATATGAAGAGAATTTAATAGATTGAACTTATTTTTTAGTTATAATGTTGCCTTCATATTATATTCTACTGTGACTTAGGATCTGAAAATTAGGTAGTTTCCTCTCTGTACAAAAATTGGAAATTTTGATACCTATATGGGTGAAAGATCACGT